AGTCAATCCTCTCAATTATAACACTGATGTGCCAACAAAGTTGTATTTTAGTACTGTGATTTTTAACTCCCTTTATTTCTACCTTTCTTAAGTTTGTAATTCTTCCTGTGGTCTCTAAGGAGCTCCCCATCATTTCTGCTCTGCCCTTCCTCCCCCATAAATTTTAGGCACTCCATCTTCATAGTCTCTTAAATATGGAGAGTTAATTTTTGTTCAAAAGCTGGCAATTGCCTTTTTCATCCATTCTGTATTCAAATACAAACCTGTTGCCTTTTCCAAAGTCTTTTATGGCCTCTTTCTTCTTCTTTCAAGTTGAACTGCTTTATATTACCCTGCTTTTTCTTTCTATTTCTTTAAATACTCACTTTTTTTCTGTCCTCTATTCTCTTGCCACCACATTTTTTTTTTCCCTCTTTTTTCGTCTGCCTGGAACAGCCTCTTTCTGCTGGCCAACTTGTATATTTCCAAAGTTCATCTGTTTTTCTGGAATTCTGGTCCTGGCTTTGGCTTCGTAAGCCTTGTATCCAAATGTCATAGTTAATTCAAGTTAATTCAAAGTAGAATTTAAGCACGTGTGTATGTGTGGTCATGGATAAGGATACTTTCCTTAATTGGGGCCATTCTCTTTAAGAACATCCCCCAGGCTGCCTCCTCTTGTGTACTGTTATTGTGACAATTTTAGAGAGTTGGAAGAGAATGGAAGAGCTTGCTCTTTTTTTTTTTTTTTTTGTTGTTGTTGTTCTGGCCCTCGTGCTGTTGGGTCTGTGTGATTGATGTGGTTGTGACTTAGGATGATGCTCCAAAAATGCTGTTGCTGTAAACAAAACTAGTTACACTGCTTGTGTACATTTTTAAAATATCAGAATTCTAAAAGCAGAATTGCTATTATTCTATTATTAGCATAACTGTTTTTTTTTTTTTCCTTGTAAAAGGCACGGATCACATGTGGTTCTTTCCTGTGAAATGTTTTATTTTTAGATCTTAACATATGCAGGTTTTGCCATTCCTTTTCAAAGAATTTGTCTCAATGCCTCAGTATATGCATCTGAAAATCTCATTCTGTAGTATTTGTAGTATTTTCTTTTGTAGTGTAGATGTTTTTTTCACAATATTCTATGTCCCTAGTATTTCTAAGATTATTATTATTATTTTTTAACATTCTCACATGCAGATTTTCTTTACAATTGATGCAAAAACTAATACCTAAAGTGACAAAGATGGCTTTTACGATAGATTGGCAGGCAAGTTAACCTATTCTGATTTCATCTCTACCATAGGAAAGTGTTGTATGATTCTCTGTTGAAATGCACACTATTTTATTGCTGAATGCTCAATGTCTTATGTTGCTTAAATAATTTTCATTGTATTTTAGTCAAGTGTTTACCTATAGCATTTTTGTTTGTTTTGAGGTGGTGGCTTTAACCGAAATTATACAGTGACACACTTCACTGTTACTGGAGACAAAACATTACCACATATGAGGTGATTTCATGAGAGAAGCATATCTTTTGGCATAAATTTCTAAGATTGTGTATAATTATTAGATTGTGTCTTAGTTTGCAATAGCACAGATTGCACTGTTGGATCTGAGAGTGTTGTGTTTTTTTTTCATGATACTTTCCATGTAGTGAGTCATAATAACAATAAAATAGCATAGCATGGCATAATTTGTGGCTTTTCCTACTAGTAACATATTCCTGCATATATCCTGCCTGCCATGTTTTTTAGGGTATGTTTTAAAAATATCTTAAAATTTAGACCTGACATCTGTCTGTAAGCTCTGGAGCTGTGCTGACCGGTGACCTGATGGCATTTCCCCTCCAGCCTGGCTCGTTTTGGGAACCAAGGCACTCGTGATGAACCTTGAGAAGAGGGAGGCTGCCAATGGTCCCCTGCCAGCCTTTTGCCCCTCCTTTTACTTCTGCTCCAAAGTAGGCTGTGCATGAGGATGAAATGGACCTCTTTAGGTATCAAGGTCTTGGCCTACTTTGAAACTAAAGACTGCTTGAATGGCCTGTGTATGTCCATCCAAGGCATGGTGGTTGGGACATGAGCTTTGATTGCTGGTGACCCTGGAGCTGGACACTGGGGGACTCTACACAGACCTGAGGAGAAGTGGGACCCTGCTGGGACACAGGCAGAGCAGCCCAGGCCAGAGGGGCCAGCTGTCCTGGCACAGTAGCCTAAGTCAAATGCTGAGGCAGAAGCTTCTCCAGAGCACTTTTCCAGGACTCAAAGACTCTCCAAGTCAGACACAACTTCTGTGTTTAGCTGCCCTCAGTTGCTTCCATTGACTTGTCCATTTTGACCTTGAACCAGTACAGACTTCATGGCTTCCTGTGGCAAGAGGTTCCACGTTGTAACTAGGAACTGTACTTAAAAAGGTCTCCTTTCACTAGGTTTGAACTTGCTGACATCTTCTGTTGCCTCCTCATTCGTGCATTGCACAAGGCAGAGAATGATCACTGTTTGTTTTTTCATGCTGAACATGATTTCCAGATCTTTAAGAACATAACACATGATCCTCAAGAACATAAAAAACATTGATAGCAATATCTTTAAAAATATATATATATTTAACATTCACTTCTGAGAGTGAATGTAATCCAAACGATTGTAATCAGTAACTCAAGCAACAGCATCTCTATGTTCCTCAATAATGGGTCACTCACCAGCAGCTCTTTAGGTTCAATAGAGGTGTATGGGCCTGGCCAGAATTAAGGGGGTCTTGGAGGGCAAATCTGGAGGCAGCCGTCTGTGCCAGTTCTGCAGTAGCTAAAGGAGTCACTCACCCTTTCTTCCTCCCCTATTTACAGCTGCTCAGATGCTTTCCCTCCCCTGCATAAGCTCTGGAGATCATCGTACTTCTTCACAAGGGACATGAATTACCTAGCACAGCAAAAACATGAGGTTGTTGAATCCTCCCAAGTGCTCTTTGATGAACGCCAGTACTGACACCAAGAGTATTTTGATGACTGTTAGTTCTGACACCAAGCACTTTGATGAGTGCTTGTGCTGACACAAGGTGGGTTCAAGGCTTGCTGATGAGGGGGCCCGGGGACCTCCTACTCTCAAGCAGCAGCAGCCAGCTGTGAACTCACCCAAATGTGGCTGAGGGACCCCACCTCCATGGACAGTTATCCCATGGATGCTCCCATTCGGAAATTTATTAGCATCCCTCTTTTTGTTGCCTCTGTTGCTTGCACTTGGATATGAAGCCTTTATTTTAACAGCCACTCTCCATTTACTCATTGATAGCCTATGTCCATTTGAGTTTGTGCCAGCCTTTTCTAGAGTTTAATTAGCTACCTTCACACATCAGTTTGTAAATCCTGGTGCATTTGGATCGCCTCACAGTCTAAGTTTTTGGTAGACTTCAGCAGCTTTCCATTCCCCAGTTACCTCAGGAGCCTCTATTTGCTTCCAGGTGACTGAGCTTTCTGAGCAAAGTTGTCCAGGACCTGCCCACAGTATTTGAAAGAATCAGTAATATTAATCTTACCTCGCTTTGACTGGAAATACATCTTCTTTCATGTATTCTGGGATGACAGTTGTGTTTTTCAGGAAGACATCCTATTGATCTGGCAAATCATTTTGCCAGAGACAAGTGCAGTCACGTCTCTCTTCCTTTATAAACCAGGCCCTCCAAAACAACGTAATATAAATTCCCTCTAGCCCTTAAGTGCATAAATTTGCTGTTTGTTCAATTGAATTTGATCCTACCTCTAATATCCAGTCCCAAACATCATCCAGCTCTTTCCTGTGGGAGTTTTTTTCAGTCATCTTCTTCTTTCCAACTTGGCGTTATCAGCATGTTTCATTACAGCCCTCCTGGTTTTTGTGCCCAGGTTATTATTGTTCTTTTCCCTCCCTCAGCAGATTGGTTCACCCCAGGTGTATTTTTTGTTTGAAAGGGCAACATGCAAATTTGCCTCTTTTGTAGAGAACGTTTGTGCTCATAGCCTCATGTTCCACAGGGATGTGGCCCTGTGGGACTTCCCATCCCATTGTCATCCTTTCTTTACCACTGTGTTTTCCAGTTCAGTCACCTCTTATGTGGGAGAATATCAGGTCATTATGTAAACTTCATCTAGGTAAAATTGTGAAGATTCTGAAAGTGTTCAGTGGAATTCTGATGTAGAAGATTTGTTTGCCTAGAAAATAATTTATGAGGGAGAGGATCTGACTGGTATAGCATGAAGCGTCTTGGTAAATACCGTGTGCATTTTGCTTATATACATTTGCCTCGGATCTAATCATTTTTTTCACTTTATTACTCCAAAGCCTTGTGTACTTTTGTGGCTGGGTTTGTTGTTTCCCAGCTCATTTTCTTCTGGTATCATGAAAGCCGCAGGGCTCCCTGAGAGAACGAGCACAAAGGAGCGGGTGCCGTGCAGGACAGCCTGGCACCAGCCGCCCACCTTAGCACTTACCGCTGAGCTCAGCTGGCTGTGAGCCTGTGCTGATGTGCATCTGTGGCTGGTGGCTTCATCTACCCATTTTGTGTGATCCTGCCTACACTTTTAGGAGGCTTTTTGGTCATTTTATTGTTGGGCTGTTGTGTCCTTGGGAGTCTGCTGGAGGCAGCTGCCATTTTTCCTCAGATGCAGCCTGCTGTAATAGTGACTGCAAATGGTTTTTCATCCTTCTCTGTTTTTTTCTTTTTTCCTCCCCCGTTTAATTTCCTTACTATTCTCTTTAAGCAGCAAGTAGAAAAGTCTCTTGAATTAAAACCATTGTCGGGTGCTGGTTTTGAACATTCCATAAAGGAAAATACCCTCAATTTCCTCGTCCTGCCTACTGGTATTAAAAATCAATGTATACCATGCACTGTGTTACTCCATTGGAGGTGGTTGTTTCCGTGATTTTTATGAACATTTTAGGAGGAGTATCCTGCAGTTTTTGCCCTTTTCAAATGTAAATGTTTAATCAGTGCTTGCTGAGAGACTGTGCAAGAACACATTCATGAGGTTTATGGTTCTTTTTTCTTATTCTTGCAGTGATCTGCTGTCTTCTGAATATCTTGAGAGGCATATCGAGCAAGGTGGAAAGGCAGTGGAAGTTAAAGTAAGAATTTCCTTTTAATGCTTTGCCTTTTTTATTTGCTTTGCCCTTGATGTTAATGTAAACTCACTTATTTTCTTAGGAGAGAAATCTGTTTGTTTTTTTTTTCAGGCATTTTGTTTGCCTCTTCTGAGGCAAGCACATTTCACATCTTCTAAGTTCTCAGCTTTTTAAAATATGAAAAAATTAGTACATTAATGTTTATATCAAAATGTTATCCATGAAAAATGAATATGTGGTCGTTCTTTTTGCTAGTAAATACTTCTGATACCTCTTGAAGAAAATTCCTCTATTTTGTTAACTAACATTTTCTCACTGTACTAATGAAAAACCTGGGTTTGTTGTTTGTAATGAGTTTCTTCATAATTTTGGGACTAGCAAGATTTATTGTGTAGAATTTTCTAATGGCTGCTCACTGTCTGAAATTGTGGGTTTCTTTCTCTGGACATTTGTGGATGATGGCTACAAAGACCTGTTGCTTGCAATTGTCTTCTACATGATGTCCCACTGCCTTTGCAAGAATGCTTTTGTTATCTGAATACAACATGGGAGAATTTCCCCGAGGATCTTCTAATTGTTATGACAGCACTATGTAGAAGCAAGATATAAAATTGCTGTAGATTACATAAAATGCATATGAAAGTAATACATACTGTGCATAATTAAAGCTCATTGAATTTGCCTATCAAGCCAATTTAATTTGAAGTTTACATTTTATTTAGAAAACTTTTTTTTTTTTTTCACTGACTCTAAGATCAGGTAAGTACCCTGAAACAAATTAGCTAACTTTTATAATGAGAAAGCAGAAGTGAAATCAGACAAAATGTCTAAATCCTTTAGACACTGAATATCTGAATATATATTTCCTTTGGTTTGTCCCTTGCTAATGTTTGTAAGCCTGTAATCTGCTTACTTTTTGTCTCTGATAATAGCCTGAATACATTTTCAGACTGAGGCACACACATACGTGTTCCTTTAATTTACAAAGAATAATTTTTCAGACAGTTGTGCTCAGCAATCAAGAAGTCTTGACTCACATTCAGAATATGAGTCAAAGCAGAAATAAAGGTAATAGCTGGTATTTATACGAACAAAACAATCCATTTGTCTGCACTAAAGTATATGTGAAAGTTAGCAAAGTTAAACTTTCCAAGTGCCATCACTGAATTAGGACAAATATGCTTCTGATGATTCAAGCAAGGCAATATTTGAAAGCAGTGGCTCTTCTCATTGAAGTACTGTTTAGTTGCATGGGGAAGGGACGCAGGGTCAGGCCTTTCAGGGAAAGGTCATAAAAGTTTTCTGGGCAAAGCACCTCCCAGTCTCCAGGGTCCCAGAGATTGTCTCCCCTTCAGTTAGCCGCTGGGCAGGGTCACCACCTAACTTCAGCTTTTAATCGCCTCACTTAATGCTATTAAACCTTATTTTAATACATTTAATTAAATGGGGGGTCGGTTTAATTAAAGGGGATCGTTTCCCATTGGTGTCACATTTCCTCCTACCCATGCTCTGCCTGTGCCTTGTGCGCTGTGGGCAGGGACATGCAAGAGGGCTTTGCTGTCCCCTCACCCACTGCACCACGAGTTCTTCAGACAGTTGTCCAAGAAGGAGGACATCATTTTTTAAATGTATATATTTTTAATTTTATTTATTTTTTCTCATTTTGCAACAATTGAACATCCAGGAACAGAGGAGAGAAAAGCAGCTGCTGTGTGTCAAAATGTCCAGAAGAACCTGCTGGCCATAATCAGTGCCAAATATTCAGAAAAGTGCAGGTATCAGAAGATTTTCACAAGAGTGCAGGCTGCTAAGTACATTTTGATGTCAGACACCAAGTGAGACTAGGCTCAGTACCCAATTGCTGTTAAAAAATGAATCTGTCTGCCTCTGACTAGCCAGTACTTTTTAGAGCACCTGTAAGTGCTCTGTTGGTCCTTTGAACAAAGTCAAAAGTCCCAGCAGTTTCTCTTTGGCATTTGAGAAACTGAGCTCTAGTTTTAGATCAAATGTTTTGAAAATCCTCCTCCAAATACAAGGATTTTTCGTGCTCATGATTTTGCACCCTCAATTTCTCTGGCAACTGTTTACAGTAACCAATAAAACAAACTTTAAATTGGTGCTTATAATACACACCAGGCAAAACATAAGTAATTATTATGCTAAATCTTAGGGATGGTGCAGATTGCTTAGATACTCATTTAAAAATAGCCAGTGAAAGAGTGAAACATAAACCAGAAAGAAAAGGCAGTGTGCTCGTCAGCCTATTCTTTAGCAGAAGCAGGAGAAGAGATATTTCAGAAGGGAGCCAGGTTTCTATCATTGCTTCAAGGGGCTGCTCTTCAGTCTGGGAAATATGGGAAAAGCCAGGAGCTTTGGATGGCTGGGGGAAAGCAGCCGTACGTACATGCAGCACTTTGGGAATGCTACAAGCATGGAGGTGTCCGGGAAGCAGATGCCTGCTTTGGCTCATACGAGATGTAGCATTGGTAACTATTTTACCACTTCTCCTCCTCTCCAACCCTCCAGTAAAAGTTCCTGTGTGGCAGAATGTGTACAGATCTTCTGCCTCTACTTAGGGCGCTTCAGAGGGGAGAGGTGAGCAGAGAAAGAAAGAAACATTCATAAAATTTAAAATGCTGCTTTGAATGAGCAAGGAGATTTTTATAAGGAGGAGAGTTCTCAGTTTAAGGCACCTTTTTATTTACAAGAGAAAGTTGAATTACATTTGATTGCAGCATAACTCGCTAATAAATTGGGTCACTGTGAGGGTGGAACATGTACATGTTTTTGCAGGGTGCCAGTATTTATCAGCTGCAGAAGAGAGGCTTCTCTGTGAGATGTCCTTGTTGATTTGGCACAGTTTGGCAGCACCTGAGACATTCTTATTAAACCAGTAACAAGATGCAATGCTTAAGAAAAACAAAAGGAGATAGATCTTTGAATTATTTCAGTGTTTCCCCCCTTTTTACTTTAGATCATTTCTCTAGCTTCTTAGGAAAGCAGCAGTATTGTCCTAAATTCCTTTTGGTAGCAAAGAGAATAATCAATTAATAAGAAAGAGAAAAACCCTTCACGCATTGCCTTCTTCCTGATTGTGTCAGTCCAGATCATCCTATGCTCACAGCACATAAATACTCAGCTTGTGTATGCTTTATGTTGCTGCAGTATATCTCTGTGTCCTTTTATCTCTCTCTCTCTCTGTTTTTGGGTTATCATTCTGTCGCTGATGCTGTCAGTGAGATGAAAGGCAAAAACCAGCTATAGTGCTGAGTAACTCACACTGCTGGATGGTTTCCCCTGAGAAGGAACAACTAGTGTCTCTTCTTCAGTGACATTTTCTCATAAAAAATGTTTCAATTTTCTTCTTTGGAGATTATAACATCGGACAATTCTGTAACAATTCTTGGAAATTTTTTTCCTGAAACAATTAAGCAATGAAAATAATTCAGATCCCAGTTAGAGCACTTGCATGGGTAGAGTTGTGATAGATAAAAACCATGTATTTTTGATGACGTTTCAATACAACCACAAGGGAACTGTATGTCATAGGTAATCCTAAAATTCATATATGTGGTGGTATAAACACAGGCTGTGTGTCCCAGGCACAAAATTATAGCAGGCGTGCTCAAAGCATAAAGCAACATTGCCTTTTGCTTCTCCTTCACAGCATGTTCATAATCATGATAGTGTCAAACAACTTAAGTGGAGTGATAGTGCCAGGTACTATTTTTCTCTGTGGTAGTCTTGATAGAGAGGCTTTGGACAAACTTGCCTTGTGACTTGGGATTTCAGCATCCTGTTTGGTTGTGCCCATGGTGCTGGGCACTGCCCAATGTTTGGTTCCTGGCACACAGAAGATTCCTGTTCCTGTAGCTATTTTAATGCCTATGAACAAGAGGGGAAAATTATTGCTTTTGGCTGACTTGCTGTGATTAAAGTCTCAGCTTCAGTGTGCCATGATATGTATTCGGAAGGCTATTTAAATGCAATTTTATGGAAAACGATCCAGAAGGGAGCAAAATATTAAAATCTGGAAAGGCCAGAGTAGGCTGGGGACCATTGACATGACTTTTTATTTTAAAATTCAAAACTCTTTCCTTCAAACCTGCTCTGATAGAGGTGTTGAGGTGCAGTCCATTGGCCAAGGGCAACATCTGTGCTGTCACATCTCAACACATGTGTTTTGGGAGACCTTATCCTAAATACCATTCAGACATTTCACTGTATCACTACAGGCACTGCCTGGCCATAAGGTCACAATAACAAATTATTGCAAACAGTGCAGCCAGAATATACTACTAGTCTGTGAGCAGGTAAGTTTTATTATTAACTAGTTTGTTTCCAACTTGATAGTAAAGCTCTTCCACCAGCAGTTTCCAGATTTAGTGGCATCCACTGTCTGAGCTCTGCAGAGGAATCTGGTGATTTTTGCATATGTATAGTGATAACTTTCCATTTCCTAGCCAGAGAGGAAGGAGTTTCAACTCGACAGAAAAGCCTGTATGCTAAACAGGCTTTCCTGGCAGAGATTCCATAATGTTCCTGAAAACCTGAGTGCCAACCCAGCTGATGTGAGAGGAGGGAATACGGTGAGGCTCTGCCCCAGGAGCCTGCAGCCCGGGGCTAGCGGGGAGCTGTGTGCACACCCCGCACTTGCACAACCTGGTGATGGAGCCCTAGGGGAGAAAAGAATCTAAAAAGGAACAAATTGTAAATAATGCAGGAATTATATATGCCTACTTCTGGCAGGGCTTTTTTGGCTGTGTCCAGAGACCAAGGAAGCTGTTAGTAACAGAAAAGTCACTTGATAGAAGATTTTGAATAAAGGTTCCCACAGCATCATCAGAGCTCCTCTCTCCCTCATTCCCTCTACAGAGCTCTGCTTGCCTCATGGCTAATTATTAATAAATCTAGGCCATAATCTACTTTTTAGTGATAGCAATAAACAAGCCAAAGAGGAGCTGACAGGGAGTCTAGGAGTCTGACACAGTTTAGTAGGGGGT